TTATAATGAGAAATAACAATTACAAAATTCTGTTGGCGGAAATAAATTTTGCGGTATCCTAAATTAATTATTACAATTTTCGGGATAGAGAAAATTAAATATTAATTAAATATTGTAAAAATCAAAACATTAATAAAACTATTTTGCTTATTAATTCTTTTATAAAATTTTATAAATGTTTAATTTTTAAGTATTGAATGAATTCACAGCGCGGCTTATCAAGTTAACTATTGTTACGTAATAACGGTTAAGGAAAACATTAAATATTAATATAATTACGAAATAAATAAAAAGTATTTTCTTACATAACTATATTTCTTACCTCTAAAAAATTTTCTTTTTAAATTTCTAACATAATATAAAAACATTTTTCATTATATTTTATAAATTTAAAAAAATAAAATGACTAAAACCTCCTAACACAAAACCAAGTCTTAAACTTACATGCGCAGTACAATCAAAATTTGGTTCAAAAAACGTTATTGGCATGCGCCAAATTATATAATTATATTTTTTTATAAAAAATTTTAATTTTTTTTTTTCCGCCATTAAAATTACCATTTTACGATTTAATTTTAGAATACCAAACTACTTAACTCTATTAAATAATTTACCCATGTTTATATATGTGATATTTAAAAGTTAATTATGAAATTTTAAAAAAAACATTGTATATTTAGGTTCTTAAAAGTTTAGTTTTAGTTTTTTCAATATTTTTTTCTTTTTAAGCACAAACTACGTGAAATTACTTGGAAGAAAAAAAAATAATTATAAACACTAAAAATAAAATAAAAAATTAAATAAAATAATAAAAATAAATTTAAAGTTAAATAAATTTCTAATAAACAAGTATTAAGTTTTTAGTATGAATTAAAAATTTTATTATATGTTATGACAACTGGTTTAAACCTGTATTAATAAAAATCATTCAATTTTTGACAATATTTACTCCATTTATGAGCTCATTATTCTAAGATTTATTTTATCTAATTATTTCTTATTTTTAAAAAGGAAAAAAAATCATAGTGTAATATCGTCGGCTATAAAGAGAGAGTATTTTTTTTTTAATTTTTGTAACTAAATTATTATTATTAGTATAAGTGGAGTAAATATTGCCTACATTTCTGATTAAGTCATGAGTATTTGCTTTAGATAATATTCAACATTAGAACATCATCAGTTGCATTTTGGTTGTACAGTAAAATGCTTTTTTTTTTTTAACTAGACAACCCTTAAGACTTTGAAAAAATGTCTAATTTTTTTGACGGTGAACAATTTTAGTATTTAAAAAAAAAATAATTTAATTGCTATACCTAAATTGAAGGTTTCCACTTCCAAGTCCTGGATTAAAATTAGATTAAAAATTGTATGTTATTATGAAATTTTCATTGAGAATTTATTCAGTTACATACAAAACTGTAAATAAATTTTATATTTAAATTTTGCAAATATAATCAATTTAAATAATTCAAAAATAATTTTGAATTATATTTTTCTGTAATCTATGTACAAAGTCTAAAGTTTCAAACGTTAATACATTATGTATATAAGTATGATTAAAAATTAATAACTGAACGCGCATT